TATTCCTGAGCCCTTCTGAGTTACTTTGTCGTTGTCTAAGTTGTGAGATAGACTATGCTATCATCTGTGAAAGGAGCTTGTTTTACTTTTCTCCCAATTCCCTCGCCTCCATTAAGTGCTGTAGGATAGGGGTCGGAACCTCCTCCTCGAAGGGCAAGATGGGAGTACATCAGGTCTGCGGTCCATGTTGTTGTCCCCACCACTCAGCTGTGCTTTGTAGGCTGTGAGGACGTGGATCCTGTTACGATCTAGGGAGCTTCACTTCCAACATCAATTCACAGGTCACGTTTGGGGTCAAAGTTCACGCACCCCTGGTATAGCTGATAGTGGGCAACCTTGTTTTGTTTCTGGATCTTACTGGAAACACCTTGAATGTCTCCCCATCAAGTAAATTAAGTAAATCTCTGCCTTACTAATACACACACACGCACACACACACGCACACACACACGCACACACACACGCACACACACACGTTGTTAAGTTAAGGAGTCGGTCAAAATCCCTGGCCTGAGCCAGGTTTTCCTGAGTGCTTTTTAATCAGGAATGTTTGTCGAAGGCTTTTTCACCATCCATGGAGTATGTGGAACAATCACAAGGTGCTCCTCCCCAGATCTTTCGCACGGTTCTTTATGTTAACCTGACATTGAATAGCCCCTGCAATCCTGGTATAAATCCATGTGGTCACTGCATCTTTCTCTTCTCTTTAACTCATGGTAGAGTACACGTGCACCACAGTGAGAGACCCTGCGTAGGCTCAGTCAGGCTGCCATCCTCTTCCTTCAGTCCCCAGCCTACCAGGATCCTTGGTGCATTTTCAGGCGACCAGGCTGGAAACTCGAACCAGGGTCGGCACGTAGCATGTGGATTCCAGCTGCCCTGTCTGGTAGGTCACCAACTACACCACAGAGGCTGGGTCTGCTGTGTTCTTTTCTTAATGAGACATTGAAGTCTGTTAGTTAATATTTGCATCAATATTCAACAAGTTAATTTAGTTAATAAGAGAAACAGGAAAGAGAAAGACGGTACCTTCAGCAGGGTCTCACACCACGACCCTCAGCGTTCCTAACCTGTCAGGGTCGTGGGCACACTTGTGAACCTGGCATGGACAAATTGACCTGGCCACCAAACCCTGGCTCCCATGTGCCCCAGTGCTTCAGATGGCAGTGCTACCATGCCCACGCAGCGGGGCCCCACCTCTGTTTCTTTAAAAGAGTCAAACTTTCTGTACTTCCAATGCTCTGGAACAATTTGCAGAGAATTGATTATTATCTGAAGATTTGGTAGAATTCCATTTTTAAACCATCTCTGGGCCTGGTGCATTTTGTGGGGTAATTTCTTGATAATTTTATTCCTTCTACAGAAAGTGATCTTTTAAGTTTTCTATCTCTTATGGGGTCGATTTTAGTGAATTACATTTTCTTAGAAAAATCTGTGGTTCATTTGGTTTTCAAATTTATTCATATGAAGGTCTCCCTCTCACTTTCATATAATCATTCCCCTGTGCCACTCCCAGGGGATAACTTTCTGGGATTTTCCACTGTGAGTTAATTTGGCCAGTACTTACACTTCATGTAAATGGTTTATTAGAACATGTCCTTTTTTTCTTACATGCCGGAGTGTTTTATTTATTTATTTGTTTATTTACTTATTTATTTTTAATTTGATGAGACAGAGAGAAAGTAAGAAAGAAAGCCGCCAGGTCCAGGACTTGAACCGCAGTCAGCCATGTGGGAGTCCAGCACCTTTGACTGCCATGGCACCTGCCAGCCCCACATGTACTTTCTTTTTTAAGGTACGGAGGAAATTTTATTTTAGCTATATTTTCACAATATACATACCCTCAACACAGAAAGACCCTATTAAAGTTTTGCAAATTGCTTAATAAGATAAATATTTGGGTTGAGGCTTTATGAAGCTTTCAGACATTAAGTGTGAGAAAGTTAACAGTCATCAAGGTTTGCATACATGATCACAATGAACACGGTGAAATAAACCAAAGAATAAAGCTTAATACCCCCCAAAATGTGATACATTGCAATTCTACTGAAACGTTTATTCCTATCCTATGTTCATTTTCACCTTTTAATTTATTACATTTTATACTCTGATTTTCTTTTAAATATAGATTACATATAATCTTTTTCTTTTCTTTTTTCTTTTTTTTCTTTTTGGAGAGGTTTTTGCTATAGGGCACATGTGCTTGCCAGTCAGACAGAGAGAGACAGAGAGACAGAAAGTGAGAAATCACCCCCCAGGGGGGATGGCCACGCTGCAATCCCTTCTCCTCCATTCTCCTCTCGGGATCTTGGGCACACACGCACATGCGCCCGGCGTGAGTTTAAGCCACTGAGTCCAGGATGCAAACCACGGTCGACTACGTGGGAGTCCAGTGACATAGCCATTACGCTAACTGCTGGTTCCAGGTTACATATAATCTTTTGTGCCCTCACCAGAGAAAGACAAGAGAGGGAAAGTGAGGAATCACCCCCAGGAGCACGGCCAAACCACAGTTCTTTCTCCTTCATGCTCCTCTTGAAATTTTGAGGGCACATGTGCCCAGCGTGATTTTCAAGCACTGGGTCCAAGGTTGACACAGCAGTTGGCCATGAGGGAGTCCGGTGCCTTCACCAGCCTGCCATCTGCTGGTCCCCCGGCCATCTGCTTTATCTCTACTCTGTTTTGTCATTTAGAAGAAGATACACTTATTAGGACACTTATACTCCAGTAAACTTGCAAATAAAAAAGGGAAAAGCAAATAATGGTTTGTTATAATAATTTGAAATAGTAATTTCACTGATCCTCATCCAATTTCAGGAAAGTGATGTCCCTAAAATAGCAATTCTGCCTCATAAATTCTTTCCATGCCTAAACAGAAATGGAAAGAAAAGTGAAATTATGTCAAACTTAAGATAGTTAATGGGACGGTATGTGCTTTTAATAGTTCAACACTGATGATACTTGATAACCAAGAATAAATTAATAGGTTTACATTTAAAGTGTGATTTTTAATGTGTATGAAGTATATAAACAATTAGGTAAGCTTGGAACCAACCAAAATACACAAATTTTCTATATTTCGTTTTTTATAGAATATTTATTAGTTTAATATACAATGTACTATTTGCCATTTTGGAACTCCTTTATCATAAAGACATTTCTGTCTGATGACAAACAGCAACCGCAGTAATCACTCTGGGCCACCACCCAGGGGGATGGCCATGCTGCAATCCCTTCTCTACTCTCCTGTCAGGATTTTGGGCACACAGGCACACACACCAGCCGTGAGTTTCAAGCCACCAGGCCCAGATCTCGAATCACAGTGGGCCACATGGGAGTCCAGCACCGTAACCACGACACCACCTGCTGGCTCTGTGTGACAAGTAGCTTAAACTTTTCTCCCGTGCAGTGGTTTCTGTTGTACGACTGTTCGCGGTTTGTCTGTCCCCTCTGCAGGTGGTAGACATTTGATTACTGTATGTCCCCCTGATTATGAGGAGGCCACTGTGAACATCCTAGTTAAGAGTCTCTGTGACATCTCAGCTGTGCCTGTCCCACATGATACATGCTGGGCACCCTGGCCCCGGGGCGAGCGTGCACTCTCCTTAAACAGCAGGGCAGTTTCCACATGTCAGTGGCAGTTTAGGGTCCCATAGTTTTGCTTCTCAGCCACGCTGACGTTTGGTGCTGTCGGTTTCTGTTGTTTTTGCTATAACCTTCCTAATGTGTGTGAAATACAGGTCATAATACAGGTTTTTCTTTTTTGGAGAGAGAGAGGTAATTTTGCTATAGGGCATCTGCCCTCATTAGAGAGACAGACAGAGAGAGAAAGTGAGAAATCACTCCCAGGGGCATGGCCACGCTGCCATCCTTTCTCCTCTGTTTTCTTCCTCGGTTTTGGGCACAGACACACATGTGATCGGCGTGAGTTTCAAACCATTGGGTCGGGGACTCGAACGATGATTAGCCACATGGGAGTCCAGTGCCATAGCCACTGCCCCACCTTCTGGCCCCATGATACAGTTTTAATCTGCATTTTCCTGACTAATGAAACATGCTGGTTAATACTCTAAATGTTTTGCCCATTTTAGAAATTGGGTTTGGCCCATTTTTAAAAATTGTATTATTGGGACCAGCAGATGTTACGTCACTGGACCCCCATGTAGTCGACCATGGTTCGAGTCGAGACCCAGTGCTGTAAAACTCATGCTGGGTGTGTGCGTGCCCAAATCCCCGAGAGGAGAATGGAGGAGAAGGGGTTGCATGCTCCTGGGACCCTCCTGTGGGGTCAGCTGCACAGACTGTCATGTTCTATTGCTGTCACCATCCAGCCCCTGTCAGCATCTTAGATAAGCAGATACAGAAAACAAGAGAAAAAGGAGGCAACTCATTTTTTAATTATGTTTACTCAACCCCAAAGTAAGGAGAGCAACTCTAGACCAGTTTTGCTTTAAGCATAGATGAGTAACTCCTAACCGAAATTAATCAGTTCCAGGGACATGTGAAAAACCATGGCCAGGTAGGCTTACCCACTGATGCAGGAGTGACTGGCCAATGGAGCCCACCAACCAGCCCACTACGGTGGTCATGTGGGCATCTCAGTGGGTACAGAAAAGGCACTCGAAGTTCAGTGTTGTTCATGGCAAAAACTCTTAGAAAGATCAGACAACGTTCCACAATAGTGAATTTTGAGTGCATGAGTGGGAAAGCCTGCATTAAACTAAAGGCTCCCACTGACCTCAAGGACAGCAGGTCCCCCTGTCTCCGCACGATGATGTCTCTACTCTACCAGAGAAAGCGCTAGGTCTCAGCTCCACGCTGTGACTACCTTCTCATGTCACTGCTTGCTGGGGACCTGCTGCAGAAAGGCAATAAGTAAATCCAAAGTGGGCATTTGGGACTATGAGCGTGGGCTACCCAAGGAGGAGGGTTGAGAATGTAAGCGAGGACATGTGCGGCCTCCCGTGTGAGCGAGCTAACACAGTTCTCCTTTCCCCTAGTCTCTCAACGGCTTCGCTCTGGTCGTGAGCGCGGAAGGCGTGATCTTTTATGCGTCGGCAACAATCGTGGACTACCTGGGCTTCCATCAGGTGAACAAAGCAAACTTGCCTTCATTCTGTTAAACGTGAGGTTCTGTAAATGTTTATTGTTTTCAAGTTTTAAAAAATACCTCAAGTCCTGGGGCTAGCAGGTGGCATGGTGGTTATGGTGCTAGACTCCCATGTGGCCAACCACGGTTCAAGTTCTGGACCCGGTGGCTTGAGACTCACACCGGTTGCATGTGCGTGTGTACTCAGGATCCCGAGAGGAGAATGGAGGAGGAGGGACTGTGGCATGGCCATCCCCCCAGGGTGTAATTTCTGCTTTCTGTCTCTCTGTCTCTTTGACAAGGGCATGTGCCCTATAGCAAAATCACTCTCAGGTGGGGGCACGACCCTCCAGTGGAGCTTTGTGTATTATTAAGCTTTTGTCAGATTTCACACCCAGGTGGTCCTCACAGAGTCTCAGCAAGGGGCATGACCCCAGAGTGTTGTCTTTTGAGTCCAAACAGATGGTGACGTGTGCCTGGCGTCCTGCAGTCCTCACGCCCTGATGAGTGGCAGGTCACCCCAGGAGAGGGAGCTTCTCCCCCGGCATCATCCCATGGTCAGCGCCCAAGTCCTCCAATTCATGGAGGGCACTTTGCTCAGGAAATGCCCTGATCCGTGTGCAGATCAGACGGTGCATTTGGAGCACTGGCCCAGGCCAGGCCAGGCTGGGCTGTTGCAGACGGGGCGGAGCTCGCTGAGGCCTCGCTGGACACCAGGACAACAGCTCCACCCAGGCCTAGAGAAGGGACAAGGAAACCTTTTTCTCTCTGGCCTCTGGGAAGGAAAGAGAAGTCGCTCATGGGAAATCAGAAGCTTGTGTAGTGGAGCCCACGTGTGCGTAGGGAGGGCCCGCACCCTCGCGGAGGACAAAATTACCAGACTCCCGAAAAAGCAGATAGGTTTCATCAGCTATGTGTCCACAGAATGCCCGCTGGAAGTGCGCTCCAACACACGGGAGCCAGCGCCTGGAGGGAGTTGGCTGATGGGTACTCCAGAAGTGCTGACACGCCTGAGCAGAAAGGAGCGGAAAGGGAGCACGTTAGAGGTCACAGGAGATCTAGAGCAACATCCGGTGGGACGTGAAAGGAAGAGCCCGTCAGCTTGAGAGAGAGCAGGAGCGACCGCGTGTGCTGGAGGCAGGCACCGTGCAGCTCAATAGAAGAGCGAGTGCAGGGAGTGCTGACTGGAAGGCAGGGTTAGAGCACACGGGTCAGGAGAGCCCTGGAGGGCAGGGGCAGAGCTGCGGGGAGCTACAGTCCCGCAGGGCTGAGGCCCTGAGCACCTCAAGCCTGAGCACCAGGCCTGTCGAGTAGTAGGAGCGGCTGTCCCTCACCCACGTGGTGGTGTTTGGCCCCAGCAGGCCCACCCCGATGCCCACAGGGAAGCTGCCCTTGGGGGCAGGCTGCCTGCTGGGGCCTGAGAGCAGCCAGTACCCCAGTGCCCCAGAATGAGGGTCAACACCCTGAGAGGCACATCTGAGAACCTGGGCCCGACAACATACGCTTTAGCTCTGCTGAGGCCCCTGAGCCCCATGTGGGCTTTTATCTAATTTCCATAAAAACTGGTTTGCGGAGGGACCAGCAGTTAGTGTAACGGCTATGTCGCTGGACTCCCATGTAGTTGACCGTGGTTCAAGTCCCAGACCCGGTGACTTAAACTCACACCAGGCATGTGTGCGTGCCCAAGATCCCGAGAGAACAATGGAGGAGAGGGAATTGCGGTGTGGCCATCCCCCAGGGGGTGATTTCTCACTTTCTATCTCTCTGTCTTTCTGGCAAGCACACGCACTCTATAGCAAAAAACCTCTCAAAAAAAAAAAAAAAAGCTGATCTGGAACAGTTTTCTCAAACTGAAATGGCTCTTGCCTCCCCAGTGATTCTGAGAAGCAGTTCCTCCCATACCAGCTCCAACGTGGAGCTCCTGCCTCCTGTGCCGAGCCACTTTCCCTGCGGGCGCGAGGGCTGTTTGGCTGCCAGACCTGCCCTGATGAGCCTCACCCTGCCAGGCACTGTCGGTGCAGCTGGCGCTCCCCGGGGACGGCTTCTCCCCAGGCTCACCAGGGCCACCCTGTAGCTACAAGGCGGTGTTGGCTCCATGGGGGACCCCAGGTCCTCAGCCATGAGCAGTGCAGTGGGTGCGCTTCTGAGGGGCTTCCCTGCATTTGCATGGCAGGGTGCAGCCCAGGTGGAGCCTCCGCAGCCCCGTGACCTTGGAGCAGCCTCTCCCATCCACACAGTGGATAGCAATCATGTCCGCCCTTCCTGGTGCTGCAGGGACACTCGTGGGGAGCATTTATCTGGTGGTGGCCATGGGGGCTGGCCAAGTGCTGGGCCTGTTGTCTCCTGCTGGGTGCCTCCATCCCCGGAGAAGAAGCTCGTCTCACGGAGAGCGCTGCGATGGCGGGCATCTCCTGGCCGCTAGATGACAGGCACAGGTGTGGCTGAGGCTGTGTCCAGCCCTGCCCGCCCCATCTCCATCCACAGCTGCTCCTGGGAAGCTTGGTGTACGCAGTGAAAGTGGATCAGTGGGCGCTTGCCAGGATCTGCTGCCCCACGTGGGTCCCGCGTCCTGTCCAGCACAGAGCTCAGAGCTCAGACAGGACAGGCCGAGGACGTGGCACAGCCACCCCAATTCCGATGCCCTCAGCTCGTCTTCTTGGCTGTGTGTGGAGGCCCGAGTATGGAAGACAGCTCAGTGGCTTGCTGTCAGCATGCCCAGAATTACCGTCCCTTCCAGTCACGGTGTCCTGCGTATGCCTCGGACTCAGACACGCTGGGGCAGAGGCAGGTGCCTGGCAGAGCACCTGTGACCCAGCTCTGAACTTGCTGACGAGAAACTGGTTATTTTCCCCCAAGTGTTAGAAGCAAACAAAAATGTTGCCTTTATTATAAGGAAATTGTTTCCAAATGCCATTAAGTCAGGCATTGCCTCAAGCTCGGGCAGAATACCTCATGGGCGTTAGGGGGTGCTGTAGTGAGTGCGTCTGCGCAGTCAGGAGCCACTGTTCTCTGCCACGTCAGTTTCAGATCTTCGAGTCCTCCTGCTCTGTGATGGATTTGGGTTGGCATGTCTTTTAGTTGCCATTGGCATCTGTTGTTTCAAACAGTCCATTCTCTCAGAGGTCACTGGGCTGGGGACCGTATCCTGAGTGAAGCTGAGCAGCCGTGGCAGCCTGTGGCCCCTTAGTGTGGTTAACAAGTGACCCAAAGAGGCAAAATGTTAACTGTGGGAATGAGCAGTTTGTTCAAATTGAGGATTTTATTCTGGCTCCATAAGTAATGTCTCAGGCTAAAGACTGTTTCTACTTGGTTAAAGCTGTTTGTTTTGTGCTGTTCAAATAATTAATATTGTATCTCTGGGGCATTTCTCTCTTGGTAGGAATCAGACGTAGTGCAGTCACACTCTAATTGTTGAATACAAGCTTGGCTTCCTCGCCCTAGAAGACGTGCACGTTCAGCCCAGCGAAGAGGGCACGCAGGTAGCACCACTGCCCGCGAGGCCCAGGGACACACTGGGCTCGTTGATGTGCCATAACCCAGCTAACTGGGGCCAGGGCAGGAAGATCACAACCCAGCCAGACTGCAAAACACCTGTCTCCATCTCTTCTCCCTCCCTCCTCCCTCTTCTTCTCATAGAGAAAAATAATCTCACATTTGATCAATATTCACATTCCTCTCAGTCAGAGAGATCTTTCCAGCTCTGTTGATACTTTGCCCTCCTCTAAGGTAAACCATCTCCGTTCTGATAAACTGCAGACCCTCCCCTCACATGTTAACCCATACATCCCCTTTGCTACCTAACGAAGGTGTCGAGACAGTGGTCACATCCAGGCAGGTGCGGGCAGCACAGAGGGTACAGGGTCACCACTCTCTGAGAGTTCCACAAAGGTCGATGTTTCTGGCAACTTATGAGAGATACTGTGTGAACCACAGTGCGTGTCGATCCATTTACTGTGAGAGTTAGGGCTAACCAGTGCTCAGAGGCCAGTGTAATCTTTTCCTTTTCAAAAAATTTAAATAATTATTTTATCTAATTTTATTTATTTATTTATTTATTTATTTTAATTTGGCCAGAGAGAGACAGAGAGGGAGGCGTGAGAACACAGGCCATGAGGTCCAGGACTCGAACCGTCATCGGCCATGTGGGAGTCCAGTGCCTTAACCACCATGTCATCTGCTGGCCCCACAGTCTTTCCTTTAATCAAAACCACAGGGGAAATGTCATCAACAACAGGACTGGAAACATCAGACTCCCAGGAATGAATCTATTGAATGATAATGCAGAAAGTATAAAACATTATTTAAAAAAATTAAAGACAACGTAGATACATTGAGAGGTATTCCATATTCACGAATTGGAGGGACTTAATATTACAATTGTAATAAAGATGCCAGTTTTCGCCAAATCAAGTTACAGAGTTAATGACATGACAGTAAAACTCAACAGTTTTCTGCTGAGCACTGGCAAGCTAATTCTAAAATCGACATGGAAACGCAGAGAACTAGGAATATTCAAGAGGATCTAGAATAAGGAGAGGGAGGTCAAGAGGTGGTAATTATTGGGGGACTTACGATGCTGGGGACATTACTTCCCATAAAACTCAGGAGCTGAGATTGCAGCACTGGCTCGGGAAGCGGCCTGGCAGCACTGGCTGGGGAAGAGGCCGCCGATCCACAACACAGAACTGCGGAGGCAGGTGTGCGTGCCTGGACCTGGCCTCACGACAGAGGCGTCCTGCCAGGCAGCGAGAGAAGGCTCATTATTCTTCAGGAAGTGATTCTTGGAGAACTGAATCCATATGTGAAAATACAGAATTTTGAATTTTGACTACTTCCTCATACCATACACAGAGTAAATGTCAGTGGATGTTTCTAAAAGGTAACAAGGCCGAGCTAGGTGTTCTGTGAGGAAAGATTTCTTAAACAGGACAGAATCCTCGCCTGGGAGGGAGGGGCAGACAGTCAGCTTGTGTCGGAGGCTATTGAGAGAGTAGGAGATGTTTGCAGTAGAGCTTGTCCAGCAAAGGGCTCATGTCCAGAGCAGATAAGGAAGCCACACACCCGCAGACACCATGAGAGAGACACAGACATGCACACACATGTGCACACACACACACACACACGTGCACTCATTCATATACCAAGACTATCCAAGGAGATGCTCACTGTCACTGTCCTCATGATATGCACATTAAAACCACAGTGAGAAGGCCAGCCCTGGCCTGGTAACTGTTTAGCTGGGTTCCACAAGGTCAGCTGCCTGGTTCAAGTCCTGGACCAGGCAGCTTGAAAAACACCAGGGGTATGTGTGTGTCCTCAAAATCCCAGAAGGAAGGGGAGCTCGAGGAGGAGGGATTGTGCTGTGACCATTCCCCAGGGGGTGCTTTCTCCCTCTCCCTCTCAGATTCTCTCCGGCAAGTGCCTGTGTACGTGGCAAATCAAAAAAATCAAACACAGTAAGAGAGCACTGCACACCCCCACAGGGGCTAAGCGAAAGGACTGGAAATACCAAACGTTGGCAGAAACATAAAGGCCCTGGGATGTGCGACGCTACTGAGTGGGAAGGTGACCCCAGCCTGTCGTGTTAGCTGCAAAGCTGAGCCTCGGTGCTCTGTCCTGAGTATCAGCCTGACAGGGTATCCCTGACACTGCAGCACCACGCACAGTGGGTCCACATGGGGAATGGGCGATGTCTGTGGGTTGGTCAGGGTGGCGTGCAGTTCACATACCAGCGTGTGCTCACGAGGAGAGGGTGCGCCGGCAGCACACACAGCATGGAGAGTCTCACACTGCAGCCGCGGGCCAGCAAGGTCACATCCACAGTGCATGTGACTCACAGCTGCTGAAACTAGCTTGCAGCAGGAGAGGAGTGAGTCGAAATTTGGGGTGCCTCAGGGAGCTTCCGAGATGCCATTGACGTCCGTTCCCTCGTCTGGGTGGTGGCTATGTGGCCGACCCCTCCGGGCAGCATGTCCAGCTGTGGGTGGTGGCTATGTGGCTGACCCCTCCGGGCAGCATGTCCAACTGTGGGTGGTGATTATGTGGCCGACCCCTCCGGGCAGCATGTCCAGCTGTGGGTGGTGGCTATGTGGCTGACCCCTCCGGGCAGCATGTCCAACTGTGGGTGGTGATTATGTGGCCGACCCCTCCGGGCAGCATGGCCAGCTGTGGGTGGAGTCTATGTGGCTGCCAC